GTGTGTGTGTGTGTGTGTGTGAAGTTTCATTCAGACAGAAAGGAACAGTGTGTGCCGTGAGGTGTTAGATGAAAGAAGAAGAAAAAGAAAAACCCTGATTTGAAAGTCTGATCTGAAATCTGAAGTTTCCTGTCTTCCCGTTCTGCCCTGAGAGCATCCTGCCCGTTTGGCCCCCGAAGCACGAGAAGGACACACAATGAACTGAGATAGGACCAGAGCAGGGACGCTTCAGGCATTTGTTGCTTGTTTTTCATTTACCTCCTTTCTTTCCCTGCAACACCTCTCCTCTCCTCCGCTGTCAACATTAGCATTGAGCCAGCATTAGCCCTCTGCTGCATGAGCGCTCTCTCCCTCTTTCTGGCCCCTATTTTCCCGCTCAGCATCTGGATGCAGATAACACAGGAACACCGTCCCCTTATCTGCTCAGAAATGACACACTGGGCTCACGCCGTGTCAAACGGCGCTTCGTCCTGCTCCTATCTGATCCCTAGACAGAAAATAAAAAACTGCCCCGCTGAGCCCTGAGTGTAAGACACAGCCTTGGATCTTTAATGGAATCTCTGTGTGAGTGTGTGTGTGTGTGTATACATGTGGTGTGCACATCTGAAACCTCCCTATCTTTGACAGTGATCACTGCCAGCATCAGTATAATGAAGGAAGCACAGATATAATCTGTCTTTTTTTTTCATTTTGTTGCTACAGTATGAGGACAGTCTTATACAGTTAACACTCATGGAGGCTAACATGTCAAATCAGGCAATATGTTTTCTTTAACTTCCACCAAAACAGGAGTTGATCTCATTTAACATTTACATCATGACAGTTATTCCAGTCTCCCGCTTCTTACCTGCGAGCACAGGTCCGGCGGCTTCCCCCCCATGCCATGTGGCATCTCCCTGCAGCGTGTAGACAGGTTGAGGATGGCCGTGGCTGCCATGTGGGCAGCCTCCATGTCGTGGCTGTAGTCAAAGCTGCTCTTGCTGCAGGTGCTGCTGGCGCTGCTGCCCCCGCCACCTCCCGCGCCCCCTCCACCGCCACCACAGCTCAGGCTGCTGCTGCTGCTGCTGGGAGCGTAGGTGCTGGTTGTGCTGCTGGCCGAGCTGGAGTTCTTGCAGTAGCGTTTGGCTGCGGGACCATTGCAGAAATTCAAAAGAGAACAATTTTAATGCAATACATGGTTTTTACATTGGACCACGTTGGACCACCCAACATCACAACATTGTTCCAGCCAATCAGCAACAAGGGTATTCATGCACAGTAAGAGTGGAGTGAAGGGGCAGAAGGAACGGTCCCTGAATATCTGTAGATGCTAACTGTACAATAATCCTCTTTCTTATAGAGATTTTGAATAAAACACGTTTAAACATCACCTGTTTAAACTGCTATTGTTTCAGAACAACAACTTGGAAATGCTACTTTCAAAATGAATCACCAAAGACTACTGCTAACCAAAAGTAGATAATGAAATTGGTGAAGACCCACATAATCATCGCTGAGTCATTTCAACATGAGTCGCCCCCAGACCATGCAGTGGGCTGTGGTGACCACACACCAGTTCATGACATACCCCGAGTGGGCAGCAGCCAGTCACTTAACCCAGTGGTCCAGAGATAACGGTTCATCAGTGTTTGACTGTCTGCTTCTTCAAGGGCAGCACACAACACACATACACCGTTGTGGCTGATTGTAGTTGTTGAACACGTCGTTTTTGTAAATGCAGAGTCTATTTTGTCTACAGATATATTAATTTTTGTGGTGGCTCAGTGGTGCACCTTGGCTATACACGTGCATGAAAGTGAAGGGTGGAGCTTCTAAAGGAGCAGTGAAGTAAGGACTGTTTTTGTTTTTTGAATATCAGCAGTGGTTCCCCAGAATCATTAACTCCACCTTTAAAGGTGAGTTCATTTGGTTTAGGTAGGTTTGACACAGAGTTTTAAGACAGATCCTATGACCTGTCATACACTGTACAGCTTTAAGTGATAAAAGATTAGGATTTTCCTTTTCAAACCTTTTTATTTCTTTGATACTTGATAGTTAAATCTTTATACATAGCTTTGTACTAAACATATGGTTGATTAGGTTTGGTATCTTTAATGACACTCTTATCTAGGAGCAACACCACAGGCCACAGCAATCAGAGGATTTCACAACTCTAAGAAATGTATGCTTGAGACAGCTAAAAGGAATGTGAACTCTACACACTGTGTGAGTTTTTTTTAATACTGAATATAAAAAGTACATTCAACATGGGATGAATTGAAATAAAGATGTGTCACGGTAAAGTCATAGCAGTGGAAATAAAGTTTTGCTTTGATGTAGTACCGTCGTATCCTTTCGGCGAGGTGTCCCTTTGTCCGTGCACCTTGGGCGCGATGGCCCGCTTCCCGTACACCTGGTGGTTGTTGCTGCCGTCGAAGGCGCTGTAGTCAAAGCTGGTCTTGGAGTACTTCTCCAGCTCCTTGGCCAGGTTGGAGCGGGGCGTGCTGGTGGAGACATTGTTCTTGTAACCATACTGTGGATAGTCCAGTTGTTTGACAAAGCACATAGGCCTGGAAAATAAATGACGAGGGGGTGGAAGTTGGACCGAGGCAGTCAACATTGCCCAGGGGGAAGGAGACGGAACTTGGTGGGTTTGGGTAAAATAAGAAAGAATGGGCGGATGCAGGGGGAAGGGGCAGACTGTCATGGTTAAACTTCGGGATTAGAATGTCAAGGACAATGCTGGCAGATGAAGGGGGGTGTCGTGCAGGACATGTCGTGGCATGGATGTTTTGCTCCTTTTCCATGAAAAAACACAACCCTCTACCACAGGTTTTTTTTTTCATGAATAGTGAATAAGAAGCAGGAAAACTTAATTTCCACATCTTTGATTAATTTTGCATACTTTTGATATGCTTTTTGCTTTTGATTTGCCTTTACAGGCTTATAAACGACCTGGAAGATTGAGATGTGAGATCTAATGCTGTTGATGGTTGGTTGGATATGAATATAAATTGTACAATTACTTAAAACTTTTCATGATAATATTTCATGAGTATCAAAGTAAACCTCATTCAAAATGTTCTTACCTTTTCAATGATAAATGTGCTATTTATTTTTACAATCTAATAAAGCGATTTGCCTTTGATAGTGAGCAGGGAAATGAAGATGCAACGTATTCTCAGGAGACAGGAGAACAAGTGTAACACAAAAAAAAGGGGAAGACTTAAGACATCAATAGTTTTAGGATACAAAAAAATAAAAAAACATATACCAACATGGCTGAAAAGAGGTCTTCAAGTATTTTATTGTGTTGACGTCTTGACACAAAATCTATATTTGCTTGCCCTATATATGATGTGGAAATATAATGAAGAGCGAATACTACCTTAAGACTCGGTCGGAGGACTGGTTGGATTTGGGGCCGTCACAGCTCTGGTGCTTCTCCTGGGCTTTGGCCAGCTTCTCGGCTGCAGCGATGGGACATCCGGACAGACTGAAAAAATGAGGAAAACTGTCTTAAGTGGTGCCGCAGACCGTGCATGTGAGACAGAGGTGAAAATATCACATTGAATGCATGTGGTGCAAAGTGCCTCAGCTTGTTAAGAGAGTGCATGTCAGACAGTGAGCAGCAGTCAGTCCACATCTGTCTGTCGGCCAATCAATCCCTTTGTTCACCAGTTTGAGAGTAACCTGATTCTAGTTCAGAAAGTCTTCGTGCTTAAAATCATTCATTTGCATCACTTTTAACACTTTAAATAACAACACAATCGACAACAGCTTGCAGGTTTCCGGCTGAGCAGCTTGAAATAATTCTCAGAATAGATATTCCCATATGGACAAATGTGCATTTCTATGTGCATCTAGATTCCTTTCAAACGAACGGTGACAATTAACGCACACACACACACACGCACGTCTCTCTATAGTTGTGAGGACACTCATTTACATAATGCATTCCCTAGCCCCTTACCCTAACCATCACAACTAAATGTCATGACATAAATCTAATTCTAACCCTAACCTTAAAACCAAGTCTTAAGCCTGAAACAGCCCATTGAATTTGCGAGGACCAGCCAAAATGTCCTCACAATGACTGTATAAACTATAATAAACATGCACACACACAAACACACACACGTCTCCATGACTTCAGAGTACAATACCTTGACTTAGATTTATTTCCTGGAGACTTACTCAAACCTTTATTTATTCCTTGACTAACCCCAAAGCTAACCTTAACCTAGACATAACCTTTAGTAAAACATTAACCTTAACCTAACCCCTAAACTTAAACCTAACCTTCACCTAAACCTGACATTAACTTTAACCTAATCTTAACCTAATCCAAACCTTAACCAAAGTTAACCTTCACCTAAACATAACCTTTACCTGAACCTAACCTTAACTTTGACTTAACCTTCACCTAACCATAACTTTAACCTAACCCCTAAACCATCAACCTTAACCAAAACCTGGCCTTAACCAAAGCTAACCCCAACACACACACAACAACACCTACAGCATGTATCCAGTGGAATTCAGAGCTGTAAAAAAACTTCCTCGTGACAATTAACTGACCAAATGTGACAAAAGTTCATGTTGTTATCCTTAACCCCCATTATTCTCCATCCTGTCTGTCAACTGTAGTGTGTCGGGGCCGCGGTGAAAAAGATGATCTTTGACAATGGCCTGCAGCCAGTGTGGAGCACCTGTCATAAGATGTGCATGGATGTGTGCAGGGATGAGAGTGTGTATCAGGCTGGGGGTAGGACGAGTGAGTATATGGAGTTTTATATCGGCCCTTTGAAGTGAAAGTGAAAGTTTACGGTGTGTGTCCACGAGCGCGTCTATTTCGCGCTGCGCATCCGTGTCACTTGAGCACAGCGTGGAGGCACCAGGGTCTTCCCAGGTCTGCACCTCTCCTGTCACCCTGGCTGAGTGGCAGAAAGGTGCTAATGGCTGCTGCTTCGCCCAACTCCCCGAACATCTGCTCTGGGTGACACTCCTCTTTCACTGTCACCTCACCACGTCTGACAGCACTGGCACGAGCGCCCTGCTATTTCAGTTTCTCCTTCCAAACCTCCACCGGATAGATGCCATTTTTTTTGCCATGAGCTGATGAATGATTTATGCTGTGGAAGGTGTGAATTTCTGCATTCCAATCAGGCTCTGTTAAACTGTGAGATTGTTGCGCAGCTGAACCACTTCACTTAGTTCCAACATTATTAAAAATATTGCACACATGCAGACTGAAACACACACACACACAAACAAACACACACGTCTCTATGACTTCAGAGGACATTACATTGGCTTACATTGATTTCATGAAGACTTATTCATACGTTAACCATAGTTATTACATGCCTAACCCTAACCTAAACCTTAACCTAAACCTAGCCTTCACCTTAACCTAACCTTAAACTAAACCTAACCTTAACCTAGACCTAAACTTGACCTGAACTTAGCCTTCACCTTAACTTAACCTAACCTTACCCTTAATTTAAACCTAACCTTAACTTAGACCTAAACTTAACCTGAACCTATACTTAAACTTAACCTAAACCTAACCTAAACCCAACCTAACCTAAACATGTCTTCACCTTTGAATGTAATGATTTATGTTGACAGGATTTTTCCATTAGGCAGACAAGTCACCATAATGTTACTCTGCCAACAGATGTAGGTCCCCACAATGTGAGTAATACCTGAACACACTCACGAACACAATGTGTTGGACAAACAAAAATAAATTAGATAAGATAAAAAAAACAGCTCAACAAAAAAATGAACCAAGTTCCATAAAGACAAGGAGGATGCAACATGGACAGTGCCAGTTTCATGTAGGCAGACTGTCACTTACCTTCTATGGGAGTTTCTGTTGCTATTGACATGGCCGCGTCCCGTGCAGCCAGGCGTAGGACACTTAAGAACATTCTCATACATTGCCACAACTTCACGCAGACAGGAGATAGGAGTGAAAGACAGGGAAGGTTAGGAGCCCCTTACAATCAAGCTCTATTAGTATGTGAGGAGCTTGGCATTATAAACATCATTAAGAAATGGGCCTGTGTGAACCCAAATGACCTCTTCTTCATTTTAATGAACACTAGTTTGAAAGGGCAGGCAAGGTTTCCCACCATATTGCTTCCACTTATCCTGCCCTTTCAAATTAGTATTCATGGAATAGCGACAGTCATGAATAAAAAGATGTCATTTAAGTTTAACAGGACAAAGCCGGCGAGAGACAGAGATGGAGGGGAAATTTTTTGGGCATGCAGCGAGCGGAGCGACCAACAGCCAGCAATCATGCAAAACACAAGCCTCGAAATCAATGGGAGAAGCAGACAGATGGAACACAGCTTCTTGATAAAGTGTGCTTTGTTATCATCTGCACGTTGTTAGGGTAGAGAGCGCAGTCTTCAATACCATTTACCATTAAAACAGTCCATAACTGTCCCAGATCCCCTCGGCAACCCGCCAATTAGATTAATGATCTATGGATGTCCGAGAGGAGCTGTTTGAGGGGGCGCGTGGAAAGGGTCGTCTGGATGCCAGTGGCACACGAGTCCAAACCCCATCGGCAGTAGCTTCATCATTATCACCCCCTTAAACTTTAACCCCTCATCATCCTCCTCTCCCTTACATACTAATTGGTATTCGGCGCAGGTAATTGGACAAAGCCTGCCACCTCAACATGCCACAAGCCAATGCATAATGCATATCCCACTTCCACCCTGCCCTCTGCTTAGAGACCGGCAGAATGACAAGAAATAAAAGCACTGGGCCTGAATCAGACAGCAAAGGTAAAACTCTAGGGATGCAGCAGAATAATGCAGGAAACAGGAAGTAATGTGGCGCTAAACTGTTTTAATATTATAAAGCTAAACCACTTCGAGGACAAAACATATACTCTGAGATGAAATAATTTGAATATTCTACAGGAGAGAGCTACAGTGAGCACCGGAAAGGGATTTAATGTATTTCAGATGTAATTTAATCGTCATTTTTCATATTTCCCGAGGAAGAGTCATGGCCACACTGTGTGATTTCCCAATTAAATGAAGCCATTAATAATACATTGTCCATTCAGGCCAGAAAAAGTGTTAATAGGGGAAAGAGTGTTTCCCATAGCGAACTCCGCCCTGCAGGTATTCCCACATCTGACATATGCTCATATATACCTTCAAAGTGGCGAAGCAGGGACCATCATTGACAGAAACATGATGAATGGCTGCTTAATGACTGATAATGTGGACACCTACTTTACTTAAGTAGCTGTTTTTGATTCAAATTTCAAATTTTAAATGAATTTGCTTCTTGCCTTCAATGATTTGTATCAAGGTTTTTATTTGTGCTCTTCATAAAGCACTTTGTAACGGCTGTTTTGAAAGGTAAAGGTTATTATTAAGTTTTATTGTTATTATTATTACTGAAGCATGCCACTGTCTTGAAGGTGATGCCACAAAACTTTTTGTCCATTAGTGGTATCATTTCCCCCAAAAAGTCACCCCATAAACACGAGTGAAGAACAGGAGGAGGAACACAGACATCATATTCCAAAATCTCCAGTGACAATCAATTCAAGCCCTTTTCTAAATTCCATTTTGGGATTCCGGTCAAGGTCAGCCGCACAGCGCCATTTCACATCTCTGGGAGACAAGTGTATCTCAGGTTAGGGACTTTTTCGCAGGGGCCTCCACAGAACAAGAGTCATCAGCGACACTGCTGGTCTTTACAAGCCTCGCTTTAATGATAACTAATTTCTTTGGCATTATTAAAACCCTCTTTTATGTTGATTGCAGTCTGGGTCATGGCAGATCATAACTTGATTTTCACACTGCAGTTAATGAATCGTGTTAAAGGGGCTTTTATTGAGAAGTTTGCACAAGGTGAATGAGACTAAATAGACAGGGTGAATTCTCGACAGGGGAAGCTCACTACTCAGTCAAAGGGAATGTTTATTGCCACTTCACTTGATCTGTGGAATAGAAATATGATACTGCCTTTCTACTCAATATAAGTTAATTGGGCGAGAAATACAAATAAATGAATGGGGTTCATGACATTGATGACTGTGTTACCAAGGTCTGTGGGCATTTTCAAGTTTTGTGAATAATGAAAAGCTAAAAAAGGTTTCAAGATAAAAACGAGAAAGCATAACATTCTGAATTTTCCCATCAGTCATACATTCACTGAACAACCTTGCTGTAAAAGCCTTTTTCAGACATGAACTCTGGAAAACGTGTCCACATTGGTTTCTGGACTTTGTCCAAACAAATGCAGAACACAGCAGGAAATTCTCTGAGTGAAAATGCATAGAACATTCGGGCAAAGTTTGGCACCTGGGTAGAGCATGCAGGGGGCAGGACATAATATATAAATTGAAAATATTTTTTTCTACATTTGCGTTGGGCCTTTTCGTCAAAAGCTCCCAAATCTAATTGTCTTTTCCAGTTGACGCATTTGTCTGCATTCTCTACATGTATGGCTCATATTTTCCATGCAGTAACCTTTGTATTCTTTTAGTTTTTTTCACTTTTGTATCTGTCACGTGTCATAAACATGCCCTCTCACTTGAGGTGAATTTTCCAGATTTTCCCGCTGCATTCTCACATGGAATCACTTGGACATTTTCTGGGTATTTTACACAGGAAAAGTTCCAGAAAATGTCCAAAGGAACTGACTCCAACATTTATGATTTTACATACAGCCGCCAAGAAAATATCCCGAGTTCAGTGAATGTCTGAAAACAGGTGAAGAAGCATGCAACCCATATAAAGCCTCATCTATTATATGATCTCAATCACTGTCAGTCCATGTAGCAGAGGAAGGGGCGACATACAGTCGATCACTGATTGACAGCTCTTGACGATCCCACTAATCACTGCATTGCCACAAGTCACACATCAGTGAGGGCTCATTGCCTCATCACCACAGCACACGACGCAGGCAATCAGCAAGCATATCAATGGCCCCATGCAAAAAGGTCACGGGAGAAGCGCAGCTGCAACCCGTCTGATCCTCACTGTACACCCCACAGAAATATCAAACACAGTCCAGCCATCACAGCACAGTTCACAGATCATGCCAGACACACCAGTGGTTGCAGGAAACATGCTGATTCCTGCACATCAAAGAACATCAATGCCACAGGTTGGCTAAATAAACAGAAAACCTATATATGTTTGTTGCTGGTGCGGGACTGACAATGCTTACTTTCTGGCGGCACCCTGTCTTTGTGCGGACAGCCGGACAGGCTACGGTGATGCGGGTACAAGCCAGTCACGTGACCGGTGCCGTCACAGCCCGGCGTCGGACAGCGGCTTTCTTTCTTGTCTGCACGAGAAGCATCTGTGAACAGAGATGCATATGGATGTGATTACATGCACATTGTAAGCTCATGGCAGTCTTGTTTTTGAGTCACTATAACTCTGGGTGGAGTCTTGAGTCTCACCAGTGTTCAAGTCCAAGTGGCCAGAGAAGAGTCAGAGTGAGGCTGGACTACAAGTCCAAAGATATTCATCTCTACATTTAAGGTAAGGCTTATAGTCATAGTATAAGTTAGCCCTGAACCATCCATCTCTCTCCCTCTGAGTCACAAGTCTGCGTCACAAGTCCGAGTCACAAGTCCTTAAAATCAGATCTTAAGTCAGACCCAAGTCTCAGTCCTGGACTCCAGCACTACATCACTGCAAAAGTGGCTCAAGGCAATAAGCTTAACAACCATCAGTGAGTGATTTGTGGGTCTCTTTTCTTCCAGGCTTCACATCTCAGGCTCCTCTGATTGATGGATGTTTTAGGAAAGAGAGGAAGTCTGTATATACCACTTCATTTAAGAAAAAAATATTTTTCATCAGTCAGTATTGTCCCAAACGATGGTGGAACAGAACATTGTGTTAAAGAAAACTAAATTTGACAGTTTTTCCATGATGTGTAAAATGCCGTAAATAGCATTTTTAAAGTACTTTTCAAGATTTTAAATGCCCCAAATATCTGAATTCAACACCTACATAATCAAATGTATTTAAAATGTAGGTGAATTTCTCTTTTTTACTTGCAGGCTGCTATTTATTACCATATTAATTGACAGTGACACTGACAGTGTGAGTGACCTTCAACAAGGAGATTCATCTTCCCATTCAGCTTTAAATAAGAATTTATCATACTTCTCTTAATCAAAACACCTAACTCCACATGTCAACTAAGACAATGAAGGTCCAAAAATCAGGCACACACACACACACGCATGCACACACACACACAAACACACACACGCCGGATGGGGTCTTCTTTCCCTCCCTAAAACCTGGCTCTCCTGTTTCACCCAAACTCAGATATGGTTACCACCAAAAAGCAGGAGTGCTGATCCGTGCCAACAGGCATTGTTTCTGCAAATGCACCTTCAAAAAACATCGACTAACACACAAGGTCGAGGATTCTTCTTTCTGTCAAGATGTAATGACATCTTAACTGTAAGATGCTGTTTACATTGGAATTTCAGAAGAAAATTGAACAGTATAACAGCCTATAACATCGTTGTCGCAGCAGAGTCACAGGAGGTGAGCAGTGTATCAGATTGTTGAATCAATTCAGAATCTATTGGAAGAGCAGACAGACGAGGGGCCATTACGCCTCAGAAAGAGACCACTGACTGAAAATTTAAAGACCAGTGTAAGTTAGTTGCTCCACCTCAGTGACAAAGCCAGGCAAACCCAGAGGCTGCAGAGTAAGAGCAGAAAGAAGAATAATTGAGTGAAGAATGAAATTAAGAGCTGGCATGGAGCACACCTTCTCATACATTTACAAGCGCGTCACCAAATGAAATCCCATGTCTCATTAATCAGAAAAAAAGCCCCTTGTTATCCTCCGTGGCTGTCATCTATCTATGTCACGTTAGGGGCATATGAGTTTGGTACAATATTGCTATGTCATGTCTCCTCTGTCTGGCACCAGTGCAATAAAGGGGGGGGGGGGGGATTTCATGTTGATAAAAGAACTTGGTCTGAATGTAAAATGTGGCTTCCTAATAATGGCTTCTTTTTCGGGGGCCCATTATTACACTGAGTGTTAGTGTTTGAACAGAGGAAATAATTATCCATTTGCACATGCACAGATGCTCACATACACATACATGATGACTGAGCGTTCTGCACGCCACGCTTCCATCGCGGAGAGTGGAGGCAGCCAAGTGGAAGGCATATTAGAAAGCAGGGGATATTGATTGTGGCTGGGGATGGTCTGCGCTTTGCATAGCAAATGGCCCCCATTACCATACCATCTCTGGATAATTAATGTGTAGTCAGTGGGCCTGTCGTTCGTTATCGGTCATTCTGATAATGTTCAATTTTCATCTCAGCCTCATGTTTCTCTTAGGGAGCTGGTCCTTCCTCTGAATCCCCCCACCCCCACCAGCACCCTACCACCCTCCCTCCCCCTCCTTTATGCTATGCTCTGTTTTATAAAGCACACACAAGAACCCTGGTCAACGAGTGTCTGCTGCTATCTCGCCCGGGGAGAGATGCTATCTTGATGTAACTGTCTCGCATCCTCTCATTATTCCAACATTAGCCAGACACCAGGGCAATGGGAGGCTCTCGAAATTAACATTTTGCGTGGCATTTAAGTTGGAATATACAGTATGCTTGATGTGAGCCCGCGTGGCATTTAAGGCGTAATATCGCCCCGCCGCTGAATTAGCCCGCTTGTATTTGTGGCTCTCATCTGATATCTTCCTTATGGGAGCAAATTACGTAACCAAATTGTGAAGGTTGTTGCTGCAAAGGATATGATGTGAGGATTAAGCAGAGTTAAACGATGGAGCTCGCAGATCGACCACTGTAAATGCCAACGCAATGTTTCTGTTTCTTTGACTCTGCTCTACAGGTATACAGCTACATTCAGCACATCCAGCACACTGATAAAAATGTGACCACTGAATTTGATAGGTCTTTATGGTATAAGTGCATTTGTCTCTCTGTCGCATCAATAGGCATCAATATGGATGTTAGGTCATAAGCATCATAAGCAAACAAAAAAAGACATCTTGTTCTCCTTTCTCAAAGACAGGAGGGCCCTGTTTGGTAGCTTCCTCTCCCAAGTGCCTTCTCAGAGTTTAAAAATAGGCAGCTTTACCCCAAGCTGCAACGCAGGGATGAGATTTGCGGTCCTAACAGGCCGTGCAGATTGCCATTACTTATGCCTGACAAGCCTACCCTCTGATGTTTCCATGCTGGCCTATTTTAACAACATAAGCCGCTGCTGCCGCTCCCGCTGCTACCAAGATGCGAATTTCCAAATTGGCTGAAAAAAGCTTGTCCTGGGGTTGTAGTCAACTTCCCAGAATGCATGTGGGCTGTCTAGTCTCTGGTACAACACAGAACCAAACACTGGCAGAGATTTTCACCTGAGATTTTAAAGCAAACATGTAAACAAGCGTTAACCTGCATGTCCATGTTTGAAAGAGCCACTCACCTTTGTGGTAAAAAGGCTTCTTCATGCCATCATGAAGGCGGGCTTTACGCTCAACACCATAGCCATGCCGTGGGCCATGGTCGTCATGGTTATACCTCACCCCATCTCTTCTGGCAGCCTCAGCCGCCATTTTATCTCGCATTGCCTTGGCACGTTCGGACTCTAGTGCAATGGCCTTTTCGAGTAGCGACAGGTTGCCCTTTGTCATGTCAAACACCTCTTCAGATCTGTCTGACGTCACTGAGGCGGTGTCCTCATCGAAGTCCCGGTGGTTGGTGTGATACCGGTCGTCCTGTGCGCAACTGGCGAAAGCTTTGGAGCGTGGGCTGAGCTGCTCCTCCAGCTTCATGAGATTGTCCATGTCGGAATAGTTCCTATCAAGTAACCTCCTGTCACCTTGGCCATGGTGGAAATCCCCATAGCCGTGGTGCTGGAGCTGCTGATTGGGATCCCCACATGAGAAATGATTTTGCTGGGATGGTCCATTTCGGTCAGCAGACTTTGTTTCACTTAGTTTCCGAGCTAGGTCAAAGCATTGGTTTCGCAGGCACTCCAAACTGCTTAAACACACTTCTTCATCACTGTTTTCAATTTGTCCGTTACTGCTGGTCTTAAGTTGTCCATTACCACCATTGTGTGCATTTCCCCCATTGTGGGTACAGTCAGTCTCGTTCACAGCGGTGCCATCCTCAAACTCCTGTCCATCTAAATTATCAGACAATACCGCACCGTGACCTTGTGCCAGCAGTTTTAGGGAGTCCACCGTCTCCCGAACCACATCACTGTCAACGTCCAAACTTAGATCACCCCTCTGCGTTTCATCCCCCTCCCCCTCCTCTTCCTCCTCCTCTTCTTCCTCTTCCTCCTCCTCTTCATCATCATCGTCCTCCTCCTCCTCATCCTCTTCCTCCTCCTCCTCTTCCTCTGCACTGTTGGAGGAGTTGCTGTTCATCTCAGACTCCGTCAAGGCCCGGTTGGCGGCGTCTTCGGCAATCTTGCCCAGGTTCAGGAGGGACTTGGCCACGAGCTCGTCGTAGTTTTCGTACTCTTCATTGTTGTTGTTGTTGTTGTTGTCCTTCTCCATCGCCTGGCCAGGTTTGGCATTGCTAACGCCACCTCCGCTGTCGCCCTCGCCCCCCTCGCTGCTGCTCATCTGATCGTCCTCTGTTGGAAAGAAAGAACAAACGTCTTGTAATTTCATTTCCATCATTCTATTTTACTGGTAAATCAGATTTCTGGGCTGGGTCCATCTAAATTGGATAAGGAACTCTTTGCTTCCCCTAATAATTTACTTTGAGAGTCTTAACAGCAGCTCTGAATTGTGAATCAGCGCAGGAAGTTCAAAAATACTGTGGTTTAGGAAAGTTCCAGAGAAATATGTTCTGTTAAACGAGAATCTATGAAACCTGGGACTACATCTCTGGCAAGTATAATATTTGTCCAAATTTCCTGCATTTCATTAGAAAGTGATATTTACAGCTTTTAAAATTACCCAGCAATTCTGTAAATAGCTGCAAATGAGAAAACATTTTATTCAGAGTAAATCAAAACATTGTGAGAAAAGCTTTGAATGAGAGAATATTTTTACAGGAGAATCTAAAATCTGCAAGCTAATATGGAGTTCCATCTCCCACACGATGAACTCCGGTCCACAGCTATTCATCGTTTGCCACTACAGTCCCTTTTTTCCCATTCAATCATCAGTATCTTTAGAATTCTTTTCATTGCCTAATTGATTCTGACAGGCTGCAAAAGGTTACTGAACCTCTTCTGTCAGTAATTTCGAGCACTCACTCCTGGAGCACTTCCAATCTCTTTTTTTCCACATTTCCGCCCTGAGCCACCAAGAGCAAGTCGCTCCTGCCACTTACATTCCTGCGGAGAAAATGAACCCAGAGGCCCACACACAAACACACAGAAAATAATAAATAAGAGTTTTTCTTTTAGCTCCTGGTGGGAACAAACAAAAAGCATGACAAAAGGCAGAAATAATAGAGGAAAAACATTGTTATTTGTTATTGTCAGTATTATTTGTGATAAAAATTTGACTTGTTACTGGGTTCAAAGACTTGTCTGTGATCAGTTCTCTGAACCCGACTGTATTCATCAGATTCTGAATCTGTTTAGTATCCAATTGCACACTCTCTATTAGATTATTAAGGTGTTAAAATGTTAATGTCAAAAAAAAATTCAGAGATTTCAAAAAGTCATAATATTACAAGACTAAAGTAGTAATTAAGAAGAAACCCATAACATTGAGAGAAAAAAGTTGTGATACTGTGAGAATAAAGTGGTAGTTTTACCTCTTAAAATATACCACAGATTTATCTAATTATAACGTGGTGCTGATGTGCCAATTATTAAGTCAATATTACATTATTTGTAAAAAATTAAACTCAAGCATAACTTAAGAAGATGCTCCACTTTCCTTTTTTTCAGGCAACAGACTGTTCTTCTGATATTGCCCATGTAAAATGACACAAAGTTTAAAGTTACAGCTTTATTCTTATTAAATTTAACAAAGTTTTTTTTTCCATCAACATGACTCTAATACTCCGTTGTAGTACAAGGACTACACAAACACTCATGCTGACTTTCGTTTCTCACAAACTGCACACACACACTCCAATCTAATGAGAGCAACATAATATTGGTGCTTGGGGGGGTAGAAGGCTTCAGAGCAGGGAGAGGGAACAGTCACGAATGACCAAGCACATATTTTGACAGAGGAAGGCTTCTTACAGCAACCTTCTGCACCAGGGGTTTAATTTTTGATGGCATGAAACATGGCACAGGAAAGCAATTTGAAGAGCAATCAAGGTACATAAAAGGGATATAGAAGCGAAACCGATTAAAGGAGGAACAGAGCGGCTGCCCTGACTGCGCTGAATTGGCTCTGGATTAGCCACAGAGATGTGCATGCCACCGAGAAGCACACAGAAGCTTCCGAATGTCACCTCTATTACATTTAACAGATTGTAATCTGCCCGGCGACCATCCAGCACTGCTGTCTTGGTGCTAATGGGGAACATGGTAATGATGCAGGATTGAAAAAATGAAAAAATGTTGTATGAAAAACGCTGCAGATTAGGATGTTGTGACGCCCTTTAATTCTGGGTAAGGTAGACACTGTAATGATCGCAGAGCTTGGCGATGAAAAGAATTTGCAGAATAACAACAGCACACACTGTGGCATGTGCACAGCACTTCAATCTCTCATAAATAGACGGTAATCAGCTAGCACCCATAGAAAGAGAGGCTGTTGACAGGCTGAGGAGACAGTGGCAACGGTCCACTGTGTCAGAGTTAAGGGTGAGGGCTCGTCTGTGGGCTCTAATGAATACCAGTCTGCGGAGATGTTTTCACATGTCTGTGAGAAAATAAGAGCACTGGCTGCCGAGACGCCACATCAACACTTGGTGGGTAGAGCTGCTGCGCTCACAGGGTTAACGCACTCCTCTCTCAGAGCCTCACTCTTAATTGGACTTGAAGGCACTGTCAAGTCCAATCGTGATGCAAAGCAGAGTCTGCTGGAGAGGAACCTGCCAAATCTGGTGTTGGGCACGTCAGAATGCTGGGGG